TGGGGGGGGGGGGATTGGTATTTTACCCACAGTGAGGAGTCGGCTCACCCAAGGCCACTGTTACAATTTTATTTTCTTTTATTTATTTTTTTTCTCTATCTTTCGAATTCTAACGCTATTGCGTTCACCGCGTATTACGGATGAGCTTCGAGATGAAAGAAGTGGAGCGGAGCATCGGAAAGGAGCTACGAAGTCGGCAGATGACGAGTTGGCACACCTACAAGCACACATACACCGAGTCCGGAAGACTCACACCGACGTACACGCGGGAGACGTTAGATGCACGTCACCAGGCAACTCAAGGCTTTACGTGTGGATACCCACCACCTCACCGAGGGTTCTGTGGCGCAAGGCCACCACATAAAAAACTTACGCTGCAACATCGAGGGATCGACGGATTATGTTGGCTCCTGCACCGTTCAACGCGGATCAAATTCTCCGACCGAGAGGCGCAAGTCCCAGTGTTCACTGTGTGTTCCGGGACTCATAATTTTTGAATTATTTTAAAATGAATGTTCACCACATGAATAAATTTGCAGTATGATCGGTAGATTAGGGTGGGTGTAGGAGAGAATTTCGATGTGCATCGGGGTAATGTATTGGGAGATTCTCGCGTGCGTTTGACGTCCTCCACGCCCTCGAATAATAATAGTTAATAATTGTATGATCGATCGAACTTACTTATAAGTGATGGTCGACCGAAATTATATGAGCTGGCTCGTCCGGAGCGATCAAATAGGTAGTAACGCTTCTACTATGTGGTCCCACATAATATATCCCAAAGAATTAAAAAATCACCCAAGGTGCCCTCTGTCTCATGTCCCGTGTACACTCTACCCCGATCGCCATTAACTTTTTAAAGATTACTAGCGCCGCCGCGGCCACAAGCGGCCGCGACGTTGATGCCCTTTCATTATGCTTTTTCTCAATCTTTCCGTGTGTTTCTTTAAAAAATTAATGATTCATCATAGTCTTATTAAACTGAGTATTAAGATTAATTGACACAATGCTTATCGGGTCATCACCTGTTTAATTTCAATATTTCAATGAGTGATTCAACGATTCTTAATTTTTGTGCTCACTGAATGAAGTTCTAACTATGATTATAATGAAAATTCTATTCAGAGTGCGAAGCAATAATTATTGAAGTTGTCACATCCCAGAATTATTTAGTTTTCGCCACCCCTTTTGTTCTCCTTTACACCTTTACCAAAGCATTCAATTATTTTTGCTGGAAAAATTATACGACAGATTCTGATGCTACTTCGCTAATTCGGAGTATTTTCTCGTCATTCATGATCTTTTTCACAATTTTATTCGACGATGGCATGAACTTGAAACTTTGATGGATCAACTGAATTTTTGTCAAATCCTCCATGAAGTCCCGAAATTCTTGTGAATTTTGCTTGAAAAACTTGGAAATTTTTGTAAAATTATATTCTTCGATTTTTCAAATTATGTTTTTCTTTCCCATTTGAATTAATCATAATTTGAGTCACTCCTTCACATCAATTTCATTTGGAAAATTCCACCTTTTCCTATCAACTGTTCTCCCATGGTTTATTAAAAAATTCTCTAAGATTTGTGAGATACCGGAAATTTTCTCTAATTTTCGAAAGACTCGTGGATTTTTTCGCGTTTTTTCACAAAATCTCATAATTGTTGTAAATTCTCTGGAAAACTTCCGAATCATTTTACATTCAGAAAAAACCGACAATTCTCTGATTTTTTAGCGAACCCGTAAACTTCCTTAAAGTTCTTATAATTCATCCCCTATTCATCCTATTAAAGGTAGACTTTAGGAAGAATTTGAAACACATCCTCTTTTATTTCCAAAAATCTTCTCTTAATAAGCACGCCTTAGAAATATGATCTACTCTAAAAATTTCATATTCCTATCGGTCTTAACAGTTTCGGCTTTGCATTATTATTTCAGTCAGGCTGAAAGGTTCCTTTTTCATATTCGCTAGCGCCGATGCCCTTTCATTATGTCTTTTTTTATTTTTCCTTGTGTCTCTTTCAACAATTAATGATTCATTATCGTCTTATTATACTGAGTGTTAAGGTTAATGAAAATAATGTTTGTCGTTTGATTGCCTCTTTAATGTCAATATTTCAATAAGTGTTTCACTAATTTTGAATTTCTGTGCTCTATGAATGACGTTCTAACTATCATTATAAACAAAATTCGATTCAGAGTACAAAACAATAATTAGTAAATTTCTCTCAACTCAGAATTTTTCAATTTTCGCCGCCCCCTTTATTCCCTTCAACAACTTGACAATAGCATTCAATTATTTTTCTGGCAAAAATCATAAGACCGATTCTGATACTCTTTGGCTAATTCCAAGTATCTTCTCATTCATGATCTTTGTCACAATTTTATCAGGTGCTATATTACTTGAAACTTGAATCATTAATCATCTGAAATTTTTTCAAATTCTCCATAAAATTTCGAAATTCTCGTGAATTAACAAAAAAATGTTTGTGAAATTGTTGAGAGAATCCGAGGAAATTCTCGAATTTTTAAAAATTATGTTCCTTCTCATTTCCATCAATCAGAGTGCAGTTGTTGGAAGCTCGGGACTCCTTCACATCAGTTTTATTTGGAAAATTCCACCTTTTCCTACCAATTGTTCTCTCATTGTTTATTCAAAAATTCTTTAATATTTGAGAGATACCCAAAATTTCCTCCAAGTTTCGAAGAATTCAGTTTTCTCGAATTTTTTCAGAAAATCTCATAATTGTTTTAAATTCTCCGGTAAACTGCCAAATCATCTTACATCCGGAAAAAACAGGCTCCCTCTGAATATCGTCATTTCATCTTTTTAGCGCCAAATTGAAAATAAAAACTTGAAATGACCGTGTGACTTCTGCTCCAACCTTCTTCGTGAATCTCACATTGATGTTAATGATTCAGAGGATATGACGCAAATATCATCATTCTTGTTCTCTGCAATTTTTTAATTTGGATATGATTATTATCATTTTTTGAAGCGAAAAAATTGATCATGGTTTTCATTGTATCACATTCAAATTCTATAATCTCATAATTCTAGCTACTGATTCTAATCAACTTTGGAGAAAACCTTACTAAACGCAACATTAGTAAAGTTGAATAATTCTATTTTCGATTTGCACAGTTATAATTGCTTTAGCATTCAAAACTATCTAGTAATTTTAGGTACAGAATATTCATATATTGAATGAGAATTTAAGGAACTTGAGAGTTATTATCTCCATGCTGTCAAAAAATGTTAAATCGCAGTCAATTTCCAGTGAAATTTTACGTTTCAAGACTTGTACCTCTCTAACTCTTAAAATTTACTATTAAACTGTCCTTAAAATTTCATAATCTTTTTTTTCAACAGTATAACTGCTATGTACTCATAATTATGAGCGAATATTTAAAAAATATGTGAAAAAAATGGAAAGTCGAATTTTCGAAGTAGACCAATGAAATGATTGAAAAAATTGCGATTTTTGGAGACCATGACTGTGTTTTTATAAATGATTCCATCATAATCAATTTTTCACTCAAAGAATAATTTTTTCTGAATTGTAACGAATTTTTCTGCTCCAAAAATCACACCAAAAATCAATTTTATGTGAAAAAATTATATTTTTCGGAAATTTGAGACATTCTATTATTAATTCCTAAGGAGAGAATGTTGGTAAAAGCAAGTATTTATGGAATTTCGTTCG